TTTAAGACCTGTGGACTTCAACTCCCAGAATCCCCCAGCCAGTATGTTTTAAGACCTGTGGACTTCAACTCCCAGAATCCCCCAGCCAGTATGTTTTAAGACCTGTGGACTTCAACTCCCAGAATCCCCCAGCCAGTATGCTTAAAGACCACTGAGCCGCTGCATCCCTTGGGTTGCCAAAATAGACCACCCCTTAAATAGCCAGAAGGGTTTATCTGGAGTCCAGATTGGGGTATTGGCAATTCGGATATTCAGCAATGGAACGGGCATTGCAGTCTCTCAATCTGGGTTTGCGGTTTAAGGTTTGACGGGAGCACATTTGTGGGTTGTGTATCTGCAACGCATCCAGGATTCAGTTGGCCAGTTGAATTTGGGTTGTCTAGGCTCATTGGAGTTGGAGTCTCCCAATGTTTTGGAAAACCCAGATGTCCTTCTATGGGTCACACACCTTCGTGCTCGGCAACCAGGTTCGGCATGTTGTACAAACACAACAGTTGTGTTGTGTTATTTTGCAGCAGGTTAAGTGACCCCCATCAGTGTTAAGACATCAGCAGGCTGAGCCCAAAGAGAGATTCCTTTCACGCCCAAAAGAGATCTTAAGGCCAGTCCACCTTGAATTACCTTGAATTACCTTGAATTCTTATCTCCCGCCAATTTGCCTTGACTGTCAGTAGTTCAGATTCTTATTTAGAGGCAGCACGAAGTAAACTTGTACTCATTTTGGGTCTTAATTCCCGGTTCCTGATTTCTTGCACCCGGCAATCCGTTCTGCCCATGCCCATTAATAATTGAAATCATTTCCTATTTCCATTCCATAATTCTCAGGAAGGGATGGTTGATGGATGAGAGCTTCTGCTTGCCTCGGTCAGTTCCATGAAGGCCTCAGCGGGCTTGGGGGCTCCCTCGCAACGCAAAGGGAGAGTCTACAGGATCAAGGCCACGGCTTCCTTTGTGGACGAATCGCTCTTTGGTAACCAAGGAAAGCACCAACCGTCTGGCCCGGAGTTTGAACCACCCTGGAAGGAGGCCAAGACTCATAGTCAAAGACCCCTGCTATGGAGCCCGGAGGCCAGACGGGTAGATTCCAGTCCTTTGAAATCCCCCCAGTCGGTCAGCACCCCACGGAAGAGGAGTAAATACAGGTAGGGCCCATTTGGGGTGCTGGTGTGTGTGTGTGTGTGTGTGTGTGTGTGTGTGCGCGTGCGCGCGCGCACGCACACACACAATAAGGGGAAGATGACCCAGTGCCTCACAGAGAGAGTATTTAAGATGAATGACGAGTGGGACTCGTTCATTTCAAAACAGGCTGTCTCACAGCTAGATTGGGCCAGATTCACCCAACCAGCTTTCATGCTTAAGGCAGGACTAGAACTCACTATCTCCTAGTGTTTGGTCCAAAGTAACGCAGCTGGCTTTCATGCCTAAAACAAGACTAGAATTCACCATCTCCTAGTGATTGGTCCAAAGTAACCCAGCTGGCTTTCATGCCTAAAACAAGACTAGAATTCACCATCTCCTAGTGATTGGTCCAAAGTAACCCAGCTGGCTTTCATGCCTAAAACAAGACTAGAATTCACCATATCCTAGTGATTGGTCCAAAGTAACCCAGCTGGCTTTCATACTTAATACGGGACTAGAACTCACCATCTCCTAGTGATTGGTCCAAAGTTAAGCAGTTGGTTTTCATGCTTAATACAATACCAGAACTCTCTATCTCCTAGTGATTGGTCCAAAGTAACCCAGCTGGCTTTCATGCCTAAAGTAGGACTAGAACTCACCATCTCCTGGTGATTGGTCCAAAGTAACCCAGCTGGCTTTCATGCCTAAGGCAAGACTAGAACTCACCATCTCCTGGTGATTGGTCCAACGTTATCCAGTTAGTTTTCATGCTTCATACAGGACTAGAACTCACTGGCACCTAATGATTGATCCAAAGTTATCCAAAGAACTCACTATCTCCTAGTCCACAGTTACTCAGTTGGTTTTATGCCTAAGGCGGGACTAGAACTCACCATCTCCTAGTAATTAGTCTAGTTACCCAACTGGCTTTCATGCCCAAGATGGGACTAGAACTCACCGAGCCAACTTTCACGCATAAAACTCAAGAGAAGTTACCGTATTTTTCACTCCCTTTTTCCTCAAAAAGCAGGCTGAAAATTTGGGTGCGTCTTATACACTGAATATACCATTTTTTGCCTCCTGAAACTCTGCCCCTTCACCAAAATGGCCGTGCATTGCCTTTAGGAGGCTTTCAGAGAGCTCCTGGGAGCTGGAGAAGACAGAAATGAGCAAAAAACGGCCCATTTTTTGCCCCCCAGCCCCCAGCAGCACTCTATAAGCCTCCTAAGGGCTATTCATGCCCTTTTTTTGGAAAAAAAGGGGGCCGTTTTTGGGAGGTTTGCAGAGTGCAAAACCTTTTTTTTTTTTTTAATTTTCCACTTCAAAACCTTCCTGCGTCTTATACTCCGGTGCGTCTTATACTCCAAAAACATGGTAAGCTTTTTTCGTTGACGTCCGTCTCTCTCTCTCTCTCTTTCCGTCCGGAAGGTTGAAAAGCCACACGCCATCCTATTGCGACGAGACTCTCTTTGGGTCCAAGCCGGGAGGACACGGATGGACAGCTTCTTGGGCCACCAGAGAAGATGTGGCTAAACTCCGTCCTCTGCTCTGGACTCCGCCTTCAGCTCCAAGAGACCGGCCAGTCCTTTCCCACCGTCCACCGAAGGAGGTGGTGGCCTCCACGGGGAATGGCAGATTTGAAGCCAATCACAAAGCAGGAACCTCTGCTTGGAAGCCACCTGAGAATCCTTCAGACGGGGCCACGAGAAGACCACGTTCCCAGTCCCTCACCAAACTGTATGATGCTTCCGATCGATTTCGCCCAGGAAGATCCAATAAACAGCAGGACCAACGTACGCCCACTGCTTCTTCTGGAGTTCTTCTCACTCCACGTTGGAAAGCGTTGCCTGGTACATCTGCTCGGACAACAGGTTCACAGCCAGAAAAACCTCCCTGGAGGTAGACTAGCCCAACCCATCCTGTAAGTGGACGCCTTCCGAAATCAGTGTGCTGGCTGGGGAATTCTGGGAGTGACGGTCCACCCACGTTCGAAGTTTACCGAATTAAGGAAACGCGGCACGAAATGGAAGAGAATAGCGATACAATAGCTTATAGACTTATAGACCACTTCACAGTGCTTTTTCAGCCCTCTCTAAGCGGTTTACAAAGTCAGCCTCTTTTCCCCAACAATCTGGGTCCTCATTTTACCTACTCCGGAAGGAGGGAAGGCTGAGTTTAACCGGAAAGAAGGAAGGAAGGAAGGAAGGAAGGAAGGAAGGAAGGAAGGAAGGAAGGAAGGAAGGAAGGAAGGAAGGGCAATAGCAATTGTACTTAGACTTATATACCGCTTCACAATGCTTTCCAGCTCTCCCTAACCAGTTTACAGTCAGCCTCTTTCCCCCAACAATCTGGGAAGGAAGGAAGGAAGGAAGGAAGGAAGGAAGGAAGGAAGGAAGGAAGGAAGGAAGGACAATAGTAACAGCGCTTAGACTTATATACCACTTCACAGTGCTTTCCAGCCCTCTCTAAACGGTTTACAGAGTCAGCCTCTTTCCCCCAACAATCTGGGTCCTCATTTTACTGACCTCAGAAGGATGGAAGGCTGAGTTCAACCGGAAGGAAGGAAGGAAGGAAGGAAGGAAGGAAGGAAGGAAGGAAGGAAGGAAGGAAGGGCAATAGCACAGACTTATAGAGCACTTCATAGTGCTTCATGATAACTGAACCTAGAACATAGGAATTCCTAGAACATAGGAATCATGTTGTTTTTTTTAAAAAATTATTAGAGTTTTTCCCCATTTTTTAAAAAACAGATATCAACTTTGAAACATTTCTACATCGTTAAGCATCCATTATACTCCTTCTTTCTATCTATCATCTATCATCTATCTATCTACCTTATCTATCTATCTATCTATCTATCTATCTATCTATCTATCTATCTATCTATCTATCTATTTATTTTTATATACCTTTATATACCTCTATCTCTGTCTGTCTGTCTGTATATTTTTACACATTTTTCATCTTCTCATATAGTTATTCCTATTATTCTTTCCATGTACTTATTTCTAAACAATACATCTTCGATCCTTCTATCCTTCTATGTACATATGTTTCTCTTATTTATCTTATTCAGTACTATT